AGGCAAGAGAAAAAAATGGAGGATGGAGAAGGAGGGAAAAGCGGATAAACGATCGAGGAGAGATGGAAGGGAGACGAAAAAGAGGCAAGAAATTAGCGAGAAATAGGGAGAGAAAAGGGAGGGTATCGAGGGGCACGAAGACTGGGCAAATAAGAGAAAGGGTCTTGCGTACGTGAGGATGGAGAGGAGCGTAAGGGGGTTGGCTGTGGTGGATAGTGAAAGTACAGTGTGGATAACTCTCTGACGGGAGTGATGCGGCCTCACGGTGCCCCCCTTAGGCGAACTGAGATGTTGTCTCGTCTACACCAATTTGATCCCCATAACTGCACACGTCACCGTTATTCCTAATATTTCCATCTCCACGGTCACTTACATTTGCATATTACATCATCCCCATGGACGTTAGGTCTATAATCCTCTTCATAATCCTCACCATCCTCATCCTTATCCGCCCATCATTCTCATTATCAGCTCCGTTCCTTCGGGAGAAAGACAGGGCGAAGTAGAGTAGAAGACAGACGGAAGCACTAGGGAGAAGGGATAGGAAGGCGGGGGGAGGGGAGAAAGGGGAGAAAGGAGGTGGTGATAAGAGAGCGAAGAATAGAAGAGAAGAGAAGAGAAATGAGAGGTTGAGAGGGGAGAAGAGAAGAGAAGAGAGAGAGGTTGAGAGGAGAGGAGAGGAGAGGAGAGAAGAGAAGAGAAGAGACGAGAAGAGAGGTTGAGAGGGGAGAAGTGAAGAGAGACAGAAAAGCACAGACAGACATCCCTCACCATCAAACCTGACGTCCAAAGAAACAAAATGAAGACACAAGATAAGGAAAAAAGCTCTCTCTCTCTCCGTGTCTGACATCACCACCGTATTGGCCAACACACCCTGCCTGGTCCAGCCGGCTCGCCCCGTCACCCATGCTTAGTCGCCCTCGCTGCTTCACACGGGGGCGGGCGTCACTCTGTCTGTCTGTCTGTCTGTCTGTCTGCCTGCCACTCCCCAGGGGGTCATAATTAATTCTGAATCTAATTAATATGAAGGACAAATGGGATGTCGACGTTTTTTATTGTCAGATGATCAATCTATATTTTTCTGTCAGATGATCAATCTATATAAATCTATACGTATATCTTAAATATTTCGAAATAGAATTCTACCGAAAGAATAGAATTCTACATAGTAAATTGACATCTTTACATTTGCAAACTACGCCAAGCTTACGATTGAGAGAGAACGAATTCGAATGCATCTTGGAATCCTAAATAGGAAGTGCACAACCCCGCCCCTTTTGAGGGTGACCAGAACCCACCCAAGACCACCAGAAGACCTCCCTCCCCTCCTTATCCCTCCCCTCTTGCCCCGTCTTACTGCATATAATGCAACATAACCCGAAGCATAATCCAGTGTAATCGTACAAAATATATAATAGTAAACAGAATAACCATCATACTATATAATATATATTTGAAATCACATAGCCTAATCCATTTATTCCAAACGCATAGTATGGGTATAGTACATAGCATAGAATAAACACAATCCTAATCGCTGGTAAACCTCTCGCTGTAATCCCTCAAACGCGCCTCCTCCCTCCCATCCCCCCCCCTCCCCTCCCCCCATCAGCGCTCGGAGACGTCCCGCGATCCAGGCAGTCCCACCTCACGGTTGCAACTGCAGACATTGCAATTACGGGTAACACGACGCTTCATCCCCGCGGCCAAAGTTACGTGCGACGCGTGGAAATGACCCGGCCGGCTTAACGTCACTGCTCGTCTCAATGTCTTACGTCTGGGATGCAAGTGAAAGCAATATTGCCTGCGGAAGGAAAAGAAGGAAGGGAAGGAAGGAAGGGAGGAAGGAAGGAAGGAGGAAAGGAGGGAGGGAGGAGGGAAAGGAGGGAGTGAGGAGGGAAAAGGAGGGAGTGAGGAGGGAAGGAGGGAGTGAGACAGGAAAGGAGGGAGTGAGGAAAGGGAAAGGGGAAGGAAGGAAAGGAGGGAGGAGGAGGAGGGAGGGAGGGGAGGAAGGGAAGGGAAGGAGGGAGGGGGGGGGACGGAAGGGAGGAGGACGACAGAAATGGAGATTGATAAGGGGTGGGTGGGAAGGAGAGAGAGAAGCAGTGATAAACACACTGGAATCGAATGTATGGGCGAGCTCCTCCCTGCCCACCGACGCCCCGAATTCACGGCCGCGAAGATGGGAGTCCCGCGTCCCTAGCGAGTGACTCAGCGCCGCCCGACCGCCACATGGGCCATCCATCCGCCCGCCCGCCCGACCGCCCGCATCACACCACGTGGCCCACCCACGACATATCAGCTTTCTCGGGATATAGTCATGCATGTTCTTGGCCCTCTCACTTTTGTCGCATTTCCTTTACTCTTCTTCATCTCCCTTACTCTTCTTGTCCTCCTTTATTTCTCTCTCTTACCCTTTACTTTTCTCCCTCTTCTTCTACCCATCTCCCTCTCCCCTCGCCCCCTTCCAACGACAGAAGCTTTATTGGACAGTTTTACGAGCGGCGGCCCCAGGCACAGGCACTGCGTCAGGCCCTCCGTCAGGCACCCGACTTGGACCCTCTCTGGCTGCGTCCCCGCGGCCGGCCCACGCATGACCTCCTGGCTCGGGTCATTTGCACTTGATAAAGGCGCAATGAACTCACTGAGCCCCCCCCCCCCCCAGCCCCATGCTCCCCCTTCTTTCCTTTCCCTCCCCCACGCCCTCTAATTCACTACTCTATTTTACTCTCTCACTCATTGTAGCTCAACATCATACAAACATGCTCGCTCATGCGCGTACACAAGCAAACACGTATACGCGCACCCATCCCGTCCCGTAAAAGCAAACGTGCGTATATGCATGTATGCATGCATGTACACGCACAAATGCGCACACACACGCACCACACACGCAAGCACGCACGCACGCACACGCACACACACACGCACACGACGGAAAAGTCATATACATTACGCTTCAAAGTAACTCAATCTGTTCAGCAAAAGCAAACGCTTGGGATGAGATTCCATGAAAGGCTGAGACGAGAAGAGGTAAATGATGGAAATAATAAACAGGATAAATGCGAAGAAACGAATAAAATAATGGTGATAAAGAAAAAAGGCATTGGGAGGGAAATAAGAAAATACAACTAATATTACAAAAATAAACGTAAAAATAGACATCAAATGACGAGTTTAGTATAAAAAGGAGAAAAAATGAAAAGCACCATGACAATGACAGAAAATTTAAGAAGAAGAAAATAAAAGAAAAAAGAACAGGATAAAACGTTCTGTTCACTAAAGGGACTTAACGTCAGTATCCTGGTCTGAATAAACAAAGGAGGCGTAACTGTCTCCGCCACCGCCTCCTTTCTCTCTCTCCTTCCCTCTTCCTCTCTCCTCCTCCCCTTTCCTCCGCCTCTTACTCTCTTTCCTTTTCCTTCCTTCCCCTCTCCCCTTTCTCTCTCTCTCTCCCTCTCCCTCTCCCTCTCTCTCTCTCTCTCTCTCATTCATTCATTCTATCACTTCCCTCTCTATTCCCTCTCTAGCATCTTCCCAATAACCTCCCCAACACCAGCTCCTCCACCACAAGTCATGCAAGACAACACCTCCAACTGCAGGAAACAAAGATAAGTGTATTGTGGTAACAGATACCGAGACAACAGCAGTTCCACGAAAGATAATATTGTCTTATACTTGGAAGTGACAGCAGCGCGGAATCTAACAGCATTCTTAACCGAATTAAATTTTTAGTTTAGAAAAGTGATTATTCACTAATCTTTGCTAAATGAAGCATTTTAGTAGAGTCCATTGGTTAATGAGAATCGCATTTTATCCAAAACACAATTCCACCATAATGCCAAATACAGACACATACACAACAACTACAAAGCACAATTACCTAAAACGTTTGTGAAAATGTGTGTGTGTGTGTGTGTGTGTGTGTGTGTGTGTGTGTGTGTGTGTGTGTGTGTGTGTGTGTGTGTGTGTGTGTGTGTGTGTGTGTGTGTGTGTGTGTGTGTGTGTGTGTTTAAACTTAATATCATGATTTTGGTAACAATTCCCTAAAAAATATACTCTGGGCCATTGCTCTGGAGTCTATCCTGTTAGTAACTTGCCTGGCCAGATTATGCAGATAGTTTGCGACACGAATATAAAGATCCTAGTAGGTTAAATTAGTCTTGATGTAAGCGCTGTGAAGTAGAGCAGCTCTTTTTGTATGTGATATTAATGTTTGACCATATTAGGCAAATGCTCCGGTATCTTCCCCGGGTTTCAGCGCGGCATTTAAACCATTCTGTAAATTTTTTGTCATAATTTCTCTCATCTCTGTCTGTCTTCTCCTCCCTCTCGATCTATCCCTCTCCTACTCACTCACTCCCTCACTCCTCTCCTCTATCTCCCTCTCCCCTCCCTCTTCTCTATCTCCCTCTCCCCTCCTCTTCCTCTATCTCCCTCTCCTCTCCCTCTCCTCTCCCTTTTCTCATGGCAACGTGGCTAGGATGGCCAAGTCATCACCAAAATGTTAAGATGAGCAAAGTCAACACAGAGTGCGAGGCGACCAACACCAACGCGACCACATCACTAGTTCATAAAATATAGGCACGTCACCTAAACAGTCACTTCATAAGGGGTCAAGCGAGGTCATACAAACTTAGCATGTCAATTGGATTCACAGAGATAGTCACTTCAAATACAGGCTCACAAACCAGCACACACACACACAACACACACACACACACACACACACACACACACACACACACATACATACACACACACATACATACATAGACACACACACACATAGACAGACATAGACATAGACACACACACACACAAAAATAATAATAATAAATAACAATAACAATAACAAATAAATAAATAAAACGCCCATTAAAAACCAGCCCTACCAAACAAACCCACCGTCAAATCGCGCCACGCCGGGCAACGAACTATCCCCGTCAGCGCCAGTGCAATAAAGTAGTCAACGAGAGTCGCACGGAACTTGTACTCACCGGTTTGGGCATCTTGATGACTGATGCGATACTCCCTTGGACTTGACACTATCTGGAAAAGAGAGAGATTTGCTATAATCACATCCATGGAGATAGTGTAAACAATGGTGGTGATGGTAACTGTGATGGTAATTAGTAGTAGTGGTAGTAGTAAGTAATAGTTAGTAGTAGTAAGTAGAAGTAGTTAGTAGTAGTAGTAGTAGTTAGTAGTAGTAGTAGTAGTAGTAGTAGTAGTAGTAGTAGTAGTAGTAGTAGTAGTAGTAGTAGTAGTAGTAGTAGTAGTAGTAGTAGTAGTAGTAGTAGTAGTAGTAGTAGTAGTAGTAGTAGTAGTAGTAGTAGTAATAGTAGTAATAGTAGTAGTAGTAGTAATAGTAGTAGTAGTAATAGTAGTAGTAATAGTAAGTAATAATAGTAATAGTAGTAGTAGTAGCAGTAGTAGTAGTAGTAGTAGTACCTGTAGTAGTAATAGTAATACTAGTAATAGTAATAGTAGTAGTAGTAGTAGTAGTAGTAGTAGTAAGTAGTAGTAGTATAGTAGTAGTAATAGTAGTAGTAAGAGTAAGAGTAGTAGTAGTAAGAGTAGGAGTAGTAGTAGTAAGAGCAGTAGTAAAGAGTAGTAGTAGTAACGAGTAGCAGTAGTAGTAGTAGTAGTAGAAGAGTAGTAGTAGTAAAGAGTAGTAGTAGTAAATAGTATAGTAGTATCAATAATAACAATAACAATAACAATAATAATAATAATAATAATAATAATAATAATAATAATAATAACAACAACAACAATAATGAAGGTATCTACAACAAATAATGACAATAGTAATGTTTATACTACAACAATAATTACATTACCAATAAAGAGTACATGTCAAACTTTTTTTCTGCATGTTTTCCATCTTTTTCAATGGAAAATTTTCGTCAAGTATTTCATACCTCCAACGAATGCAGCTTCCACCAACACCCTTTAAACTAGAACTGCATAGATGTAAGAACTCTAAAAGATCATTTTCTTTTTAAATCGTCTTTGGGTTATGAAGCTCAAAACCTCGACTGTTGCAACACCTCATTATACATGTCAAGCGATGATGTATTGCGCACCGCTACGGACACGACAACTTAAAAAAATACATAAAACAACTCAACCAATAAAAATGGTGCACCCTTAACCCCCCCTTCTTATTTATCTAAGATCCTTTCCACCAAATCAACCATTTACCTTTGATTCCCATCCACTTATCCAACATCCATTTACTACTCCCCCCTCCATCCACTAACCCATCCACCTCTTTACCTCCCCCCCTCCATCCACCAACCCACCCTTTTACCTTTCACCCCTTTATCCACTAATTCACCAACCCATCCTCTTACCTTTCACCCCTCCATCCACCAACCCACCCATTTAACACTCACATCTCCATCCACCCATCCACCAACCCATCCTCTTACCTCTTCCCCCCTCCATCTACCAACCCACCCACCTCTTTACCTCTCCCCCTCCATCCACCCCTCCACCCACCCCTCGCAACCCCGGTGAACAACCTCGGCTGATGAGGGTTAGCAGGAAATCCGAACAGAAGTAGGTTGGGGTGGCGGAGGTGGAGGCGACAACACGGCTCGACGACTCGCACCGAGCAAATTACGTCACCTCGGGTCGTGCTCGCACGTTCGTCAGGGAAGGTCGTTTGAGATGATTGGAGGTCGAGAAGGGAGAGAGGAGGATGAACACTGACGACGAATAAGGAAGGAAGAATAAGAATAAGTGCGAGAAAGTGAATGAGAATAAAAATATGAAAAGACGAAGAAGAAAAGACAGATACAAGGTTGTAGCCCCCCCCCCCCATCATATGTGTGGGTACAATTTGCAAGAAACCCAATTCATGAAAGTACGAAGCAAAACCCCTGTTCCATGGCGCTGCATGACCTTACGGCTGGCAGAGGTCATTCATAAAATGCAACATGATGAGCCACGTCCCGAGACTCTAAAAGGAAAGAGGGAGACAGAGATAGAGACAGAGATGAAGAGGGAGAAGTAGAGAGAGAGAGAGGAAGAAAGAGTGAGGGGGTGAGAAGAAGAAAGGAGAGGTTAAAAGAGAATAGAAAAAGGGCTGAAAAGAATGAGGGTGGGAGAGAGAGAGATAGAAAAAAAAGAGGGGAAGGGTGGGAGGGGAGAGGGGAGAATAGATAGGAGGGAGGAACGAGAAGAGAGGAGAGGAGAGGGGGAAGTGAAGATAATAAAGGAAGAGGAAGGCATAGAGACTGCCCAAAGAATAATGAATGGAGAAAAAAGGAGAAAACTAAATGATCCGACAACGGAGACGAGGCCTTCCACCCATCTGGCGCGCGCCCAATGCCATGAACTCTGTTGTCCCAACCACAACCACCACCACCACCTCGGTACCCTATAAACCCGGTCGTTACATTCGCAACCATAATTGCAACCACATCAATGTATCGCTTTCTCACCAGCGTATCGATTTCCATCTCCCTTTCCTCGCAACACATTACCAGCCATCTTCTTCCACCTCCAGCCCTTTCACCTCTAGCATCTCCTTCCACTTCCACCCACTACCCCCTACCCACCACCACCTCCACATCAACCATCTTCACGTCCACCTCCATAAAAACACCCTACCCGTATCTCGTTCATTTGCTTTCCCGGTTATAACATTGCATCATCGCCGGATCTAAAAACGAAACCAATAATAGTAACAGTAACAAGAGCAACAATAATAATTACCAATATTCTTAATAATGGTAATACTGATGTCGATGGTGATAATGACAACAACATCGATGCAATGACAACCGTTGCTAGCTGCTTCCATAATGGAACAAACGACCTCAATATCTCTCGAAGAGAAAACAAATGGCCGTTTGCACAAGTGGAAAAAAGAAGATAAATTTCGTCTTCCCGGGAAACGAGACAAGCAAAACAAACAATACGTGCGTTGACGTGGCACGGCAAACGATTACAGATCCAGAACTCCGCCATAAAGGCTATGATGCAAATCACACGTATGGTAAATGTCTACACCTAAGAACGTATCAAACCTACATAAACATGATGAATAAACAATAATTATATATTGCTGGCATTGGATCTGTAATCATTTGCCATGCCATGGCAACGCTCGTATTATTTGTTTAAATAAAATGACAAGTAAAGCGAACTATCAACACTGCAATTTGCAAGGAGCCGCAAGACAACCGGTAAACCGGTAACAGCTGGAGATGTTACGCCGAGGAGGGGGGGATAGGGGGCGGGTCAAGGCAGGTCTTCTCGGATGCTTACTATTCCCTGCTTCATTCTCTATCAAAAAGAATGTAAAAACAAGCTTTTCCTGAAGATAGATAATAGCAAGAAATGAACGATGGGTAAATAAAGAACAGATGAATTGGCTCCTGAATAAGAGCAAAAAACGGATGCCAACGAAACTTTCACTGACATTAATGGAACAAGAAAAATAAGCATTTCTCTTAAACATTTCTTATACTTGACTGCGGAACATAGATAAATAAAATCTTGTCACTCTCTCTTTTTGTCTCTCTCCATTCTGCAACTTTCTTCACATCACTTTTTTTCACTTTTTTATTCTCTCTCAAGGTACGAAATCCCTCCTTCAATACATAAAAATCTATCTTCATACCCAGAAAAACTTAGAACCTATATGCAACCGCAACATTTCAACATGAAACTGTAAACACAAACTCTGCTTCCACTCTCCTCCTCCTCACTGCCTTCATTGCTTTCCTAGCGTCTTCATCCCCTCCATCTCTGTTTTTACTTTCGGTGTTAATAAGTTTACCCAAAAGTGAATTATTGCAACCCCGGGCTCCGTTTGGCAGGCTAATGTAAACCTATAAAGGGCATCACTACTTTCATAAGGTAGGCCACACCCAGTTCATGCGCTCGGCGTTTGCACTTCATCATACGTACATCACCTAATGAAGTAATGGTGATAGGTCATGATCACAATAACAAGCCAACAAAGAAGGAGAAAGGAAACAAGGAGATATCGACGTGGAAATTATTTCCCTGTTCTTAGTATCCCACGAGATGATATCAGTTTAATGTACTTCCCTCGTCCTTGTTCTTTTCGTATCGCGTTCTACTGCGAAAACTGTATATATCAAAATATATACATAACATAACCAAGTTCCTCTTCTCTCTCTGCGGCGGCGGTGGCGTCACAGCCCCGGGCATCAGCTGATTCTCTTCAACTGATGCCAACGCGAGCTCCCTACATTTCCAAACATCACGCGAGTCATTCACCGTGCAAGTATAATTAGCGGTCTTGCGTTTTGTTGTTTTTTTATTTCTGTTTTTCTTTATAAGCGATGACAATCGTGCCTTGCTCCATTAAGAACACTATTAGGTCGGCAGACAGACCTGACAATCCAAGACAAGACATTTCTAAACAAGACATTTCAGGAGACCTTTGGAAACTTTTCTCCTGTAACCACGTGCATGGTTCGCAGCTGTCCATTTATACATTTTAAAACATATTTATGCACATCTTCCAACTTCTCGATCTTCCTCATTTATGACCTTTCTTTCGCCGGATTCCCAGATCCCTCCGGCGCAAAATGGAAAGTCCGATGGAAAGCCGGCCATGTGACTGAGGCGTGACCGGCAGGAGGACCGGCGAGGGATGGCGGCCGCACATCTATCTATCTCCCGCTCCTTCCTCGGATCCGTGTTGGAATGGGGGAGAGAGGAGGGGGGAGGAAAGGGAGGGAGGGAGGGGGAGAATGGGGGCGAGGAAGGGTGAGGAGGAGAGAAAGGGACGCCCATACATACACGTTCCATCCATACCACCAACCCCCAACTACGAGTTTACCTTCTATCTCTCACTCACTCTTCTCTCTTCTTCTCCCTTCACAAATTATGTAACATCTTTCTCGTTTTCTAAATATACAACCCAATCCCTTTTCTAAATACCAACCATAAATTATTAGAAGCATCTTTCACATCTCGCACACCTTTTACCTTCTTTTCACCATTCAAACGATGCCATTTTACCGTTCTTTCTAGCGCCGCTCTCAAGGTTAACTTTC